AACTGGTGCGAACGTGACTGCGTAATGATGACTCGCTGATCCAATGCCAATGGGGGAAACCCCTTTTGTAGGTGGCTGGCGACAATTATGATCCTGTGTTCTTGAAAAACAGTCTGACTGACCTCACATTTGAGTGTTTTTTTTTAGCCTTTGCAACATTATTACCACAAGCTTCGATACATCCTAATACTCTATTGTACAAATGTACTTCACAGCCTTTGCATCAAAGTTATTTTCATAAAATGCATCAAACCTTTTTTAACCATCTTTTATCACGTGGCAAAAACTTTGTTCAAAAGGGTATGCATCATTTGTTATATCGCTTCGGTTTGCGGTAACACCATGTGGTAATAACTACTGCTTATAAGAAGATATTTAGTTCTGAAAAGAACTTGTCCTGCTTATTATCAACTTTCGCTAAGTAGTTTTAGTTCTGATAAGAACAGTCCTGCTTTAAGTCATAAACGAACTTGTCTTTGGTCTCAATGTTTCGACTAGCCTGCTCTAATCATCGTCAGGAGACTGATCATTTGTTATACGTTGGAATTTTTTCAATAGGTCTCTCTCAAATGATGTCACTTCCTACAAATTGTCACGTGCATCGGCATTTTGCACGTCAAGTTGTCATGACGTGCATTGGCTGCGCCGTACTTCGAAGAAATTACGAGCAACATGATTAGATCTCTGCACACGCACCTGATGGTACTGAACACGCATTTGTGATTTTCCTACGAAGATGGCTGTTTATGAGAAAGGTCTATGGATGCACATGTACTCGTACCTTGAAGATAATTTTGTGTCTTCCCTTTTTTTGACAACTGTCTGGAGCCCTTCACTTTAACAAAACTGTAGTCAGTAGAACACACACTTGCCCTTTACAATACATGCAAGTAGCAGTAGAGACATTATGCTATGCATACTGGTACATGATGCAAATTTGATGAGACAGTACATGTGTACAATGTACACACTTCAGAAAGTGGGATACCTCTGCTAAGTCAAACTCATGGTTAAAAACACTTGCAAGTTTTACACAGGCTAGCTGCAGATGCCTTCCTTGCTGGTCAAAAGTTGCATACAAAGCGCGCCGGTTAAACTTTGCATGCAGCAATGGACATTATGGGCCACTGGAGTGTTTTGCAATAAGTACTAACTTTACCCAGCTAAAAGAATGGGACCAATAAACAGGTGTCGACAAGAAAGTAACCGTCAACAAAAAGGCGGCATCTGACAATAAAACCGCACTTTACGATTGAAATGACACCACAGTCAAGTGCGCACGTGCACAGTTTTTTATTGTTCGAATATTCAAGCAAGCAAAAAGCTATTTGAATATTCGGTTGATGATCGAATATTTGAATATATTATCCGGTTTATTCGGGACATGCAGCCTTAATCAGGATTGAGGATTCAAATTTGCTGGTCAATGCGAAGAGTTCAGTATCTGTTCCAAATGGCTTTGACCAAAAGTTACTTCCAAGTTTCAGATGAGGAATCCTCCAGTGCCTCTTAAAAAAAAAAAAATCCATCTCCTACCCACACCACCCATCCCAACCCCCCACAGTGGGAGATTATCGGGGCTGTCAGGCAAGGAGTCAGAGTCACGTTCACACACTTTGTGTCTTTCACTTTCTGTTTTCTTTCTTTTTTCTATATTTTTGTTTATCCTGTCTTTTTTCTTTCTTTGATTCATTGGTTTGATGAATGGTGGCAAGTTCACGGCCTTGCATTGCTGTCAATAAATCCCCACTGATGTGTGACTGATGCAAGTTCACTAGACTCAAAAGGAGAGTCGTACCACGTTGCGCAGAGACAGTTTCTGAGCAGTGCACGCACTCCACGTGAGCTTCAAGGATGTTGCACCTATACTGTTGGGTGTGCTATACTCTTACATGTTATCTCCAAAGTTTTAAGGTAAAACACAACATTTGCAAACATAAGAAAAACAAATTGTTATGAAATACATTACTTAACTGTAAGTGAATAATAGTCTCGAGCATCCTGTGGCACCTGGTGAGCTTTCATTTTCAAGAAAAGTGGAATTTTGGTATCATTTTCCAACGATCATACATTAACTAGGTCTTCATGTACTACATGCTGTAAATTCATACAAATGTGTTTGTTTATTCCCTGTTTACAGAGCTGCTTCTGTAACTCTCCTGGGCTTGTGGGGAAGTTTATAACTGGTCTTGAAAGCTTTTTTGAGAACTGCCAATATAGTTGGGTGAATCGCATTGTACACTTGAGACTACATGTGTATGCTTTCGATGACATCATGTCAGACCCAGAATGTAAAATGAGGGCAAGTGATTGGTAAATTTTAGAAAATTATTGGGAATCTTCCTCAACCCAAATTATTTTATTTGGAGGACAGTGTGGACTTGGAAATTAACCCTAACCCCCTAGGCCCTTGTTGCTTACAACCATCCTCAATCCTCCAAAATCCTCCAAAATTTTCCAAAATTTTGCAACTCCGCCTAAATTTTTCAAAATTGTCAGACAGTCCTGCCTCAAAATGCATTCATCCTCAATCCTCCAAAATCCTCCTCATCCCAAAACTTTGCACTCGTGTTTAAATGAAGGATAACCAACGCCAAATCCTTCAAAATCATCAGACAGTCCTGCCTCAAAATACATTCATCCTCAATCCTCCAAAATCCTCTTGTGCTTCAATCACCATTCATCCTCAATCCTCCAAAATCCTCATGTGCTTCAATCACCATTCATCCTCAATCCTCCAGAATCCTCATTTGATTCAATCACCATTCATCCTCAATCCTCTAGAATCCTCCAAAACCGCCAGGAGGATTTTGGAGGAGTGAGGTGGGTTAGGGTTAACCCTAACCCCCTTGAGTGATTTACTAGGAACCTTCCTCACTCCTGCAAATTCCAACACCGTATGATAACTCAACACCCAATTTGTTGGACTCTGGTGGTACATGCCTAACCCCATGTAAAGCATTATCAGTTTACTAGTGCAGTACTCACTCAGACAGATCCCAACAAAACCTGGTGTTGGAGTTTGACTGGATGGGGATTGTTAGGGTTAAGGAAGATCTTACTATCATACCCCAACCGTAAAAGGGCAGGAACAAAAACAAGCATCCAATCTTGTTCCGAATAACATTGATTTTAATGTTTGTGACTCAAACTGTTTTCAAAACCCATTTTATGGAGGTTCTGATTAAAGATGCATGCAGTGTGCTCTTTAAAAAAAAAAACTCCTTTATTTTCTCCTCAGGCCAAAAAAGGTATCTAGTTTCTTGTCTGGAGTTGGCTCCAATGGTGCAGTGACGTGGATGTTTTCTTTTCTTTCTTTTCCCCTCAAATAGTATGTATGGGTTACATGTACCTGACACATGCAGTGCAGAAGAGAAAAGGTTGCTGCAAGTTGGCATAACGTGACCACAACATCCAATTTGTCATCAAATGTAACATGGTCTTTTAAAGGGAAAATACACCATTTGCAAACATCAAAAAATAAAACTATCAAATCATTTTGAAATACCTTGCTGGACTGTTAGTGAATGGCAGTGTAAAGCATCCTGTAAAATCATGGCACCTGGTATACTGTCATTTTCAAGAAAAGTGGTATTTTTGTATCAATTTCCAACGCTGATCGGCCGACCAGCGTTGGAAAAAACTGGCTTTTTTTCAAATACTGGCCCAGTTGACCATCGCACTTGTTTGCAATCGATTACACACCTATGAACGGGTACAAGCCAGCTAGACTGGTTCCCTGACCTTACAATTCCCCAATGTATGTAAACTGCTCTGTTTCTTCTTAAATGGAGTCAGGGAACCAGACTACAGGAAAATGATTGTTTTTCTTGGTTTTTATAGCATTTTTGAACCCAAAACCTCAAAAAAGTCAGTGTAACTATATTTGCTATATATTTCCAACCCCCCAATTCAATCCATTTCTGAAAATTACAGCAAAAGCAAATGATGTATATTCCCTTTATAAACCTATAACAAAGCCCATCTACACACCTCTTGTTTTTCAATTTCTTGAATAGTAAACCAGTTTTTGAAGAAAAAAGTGTGAATTTATGAATTTTTGTGTGAGACATTGTAAGACTAAGAGTAACATTGAGTAAGAGAATGAAGATGTGGTTTACCTTTTCGATATTCGCAATGTATCTTTGGTATGGATGACAAACAAAGCTTATTTTATGAGAATGAAGAAAGTTTTGGGGAATCCCTTTTTACTAGATACCAGTTTCATTACTCATGAATATGCATATTATGACCCTGTCAATATTGGCCAATCAGAATCAAGATTTTAAGCTCACGCCTCCAACAATGACCATATCACAATCAAACCTCATGGCCTGATAACTGGTACCTAGAAAGAAATTTCAACATTGGGCCTACTTCTTTTATTTCTAAAGTTTAAAAACTGAATTTTATTCACAAATTATATTTCTTATAGGCCTATTCCATGCATGTGAATCGGAGATCAGTTAATTTTGGAAAAAATACTGAAGTCTGTGAAGAAAAAAAATCATTTCAAACTTGACTGGTTCTCTGCAATAAGTCTGTGCAAAAATTGCGAATTTAGGAAAAAAAACGAAGAAATTCCAAACCTTACACTTGTAGTTTTGCAGTTTTGTAGTGTTTTTTAATTTGTAATGGCATTCATGAGAAGTAAGGAACTAGGAAATCAGCGGCTCCGGGGAAAAGTTGCATGCCTGTAAACTTCACTGCTTATTTGTCATCTATACCAATGATGCAATGTGAATTTCAAAAAGGTTTAACGTTTGTTGTGGGATTGGCTGTTCACATGATTAACTGTGTCATGACTGTGCTGTCATTGGTTGGTGTGCATTGCCTTTGGCACATTTTCTGTAGGCCTACATCAGTCATCACTCAGTCTGTCACGACTCCCCACACAAGTTACACACATCCAACGTCCAACAGCGTGACGACTGAATAGTACATGTACTCTTTCCAAGTATAAAACAAGGGGGGAAACACAAATTGATGTCATTTCCTACCCAAACATCAAGCTTGACGTCTTTGACTGTCCCCGTCCCACTGTACAAATCAACGCTCAGCTGATCGAGTGTCAGTTTTTCCTCGAGAAAACTCCCCACGTAGTGCTGCAGAAGATACCTGCAGGCCTTCTTCTTAATGTAATCCGGCCACGGGAAATACCAAGGCATGTTTGCGACTTATCCAATTTGAAAACTAATGCCTAGAAAGTGACAATTTTTCGATGACTCCCGCGATTTGCTCGACTAGGAAACAAAACGACGTAGGCAGCCATGTTGAATTTGCAATATCAAAACACTTGACGTCACCGCAGTAAATTGGTTCAATAGAGGGCGCTGCTAAGCGTGCAACGAAGTGCGCGGCTGATGCGGGGAGCCAGCGCAGCGCTCATTTCAAAGTCGACAAAAATGCGGCATTCTGAGCCTCTAACAAATAAGCGTAATTTTGCCTTTTTAGGGGATTTATTGAGGTCTCGGCACAGGAAACGATACTTAATCTTCTAGTTTCAGTTTCTTTAAGCTTGTTTGTCCAACTTGTGCCTCTGAGTGTTCAGACAATCCTATCTCCTGACTCACTCTGAACAAAAGGCCGGGGACTTTGCTCCTGCGATGCATATTACGTGAAGTTACAAAGGGGGAGCTCTGACAAAAGGGTTGGCAATTCGGGACGCAAGTAAGTTCAAACGAGCGCAAGGCCAATAAATACGGGCTGAATCCTGCCACTCTGGTGGTCATGGAACGTGCCGGGGCTACCTCCAATGCGCATGCCCGGGCTCAGGCGCCCCAGGTGAAAAAAAACCTCCTGGTTCTGCATGTCTAATTAAACTCCCTTAAATACGTACGAGGTGCCTGGAAAAAAATTCCAGTTCAAGGTTGGGGTATTTTTTCCCCTTTTGGACCCCAGCTTTGTGCTTTTCTCTCTCTCTGGAAATTCTCTGATGTAATGGTTCCGTATACGGATGCTATAAAAACGGCTGTGATTGCGCCCATCCCGGCACTGCATCATCCGAGGAGAAGCTGACAACGTCAAAATACTCTTCTCATCATCACTCCCTGAAACCACTTTATAATTTTCTTGCATCATCAAATTATTTGATTCTCCTGCAAAAAAAAAAGTTGCATTATGGCGATCCCTTTTACCAACGGGCTGCACTGCCGCAAGTTCATCGCTACAGACGAGAATGATAACTCCATCTTCAAGATGGGGAGTGAGACGGCCTACGCAGCTAGTCCGCCAGTATGCGCCTGGGATGAGACCTCCCCGACCGCAGCCGCCCACGCCGAGTCTGCCCCAATTCCCCCCGGCTCTCGGGGTGGAATTGCCGCCGCTGCCTCAACGCTTGGACGCGGTGCGGGGGCGTTGTTGGGAACTTCCTTGCTTCGTATCTCTGTCTGCATCACTGCTGGGGCCATCTTCGGGTTGGCGATGGAGAAGGGGCGAGGTGAGTACTAAAACTTCACCAAGCCTTTACTTTTGCCTATTTCTTTTCCTTCCAACCTCAATTTGTGCCATCTTTAGTTTCGGCTGTGTTGCAAATTTGATATAGAACTTTATCGCAAAGATGTGTGATTTTAGTTTCAACTGAAATATATAATATCAGGCTTTAGTTTAGCCCTGGAGTTATTCTGTCATGAGCAATCGTCACATTTAATACAATTGAAATGTGGTTAATTATTTATTTATTTTAATGGACCATCGATCAATAATTTAATTTTGCACAAGAAATTTCCCCAAGACCTTCCGATCGACACCGAGATGTACGCCTAAACAGAAGTCATTATGTGAAATGTTGATTTATTAACTCCGAAGATTGAATTTTGTCATGATCTTATTTTTCTTCCGTACTTGCTTCAGATTTGGTTAAAGATTGATTTCCTTAAATTTAAAATCCAGGGAGGAATTTTCTGTAGTAAATTAATTTTAAAAAGCGGAGGAACCAAAACAAGTAGATTGCGGACAATTATGTTTGGTAATCATTGGCAACCGATGCTTCATGAATTTTGGAAGATTATAGTATCGATATTCGCCTGCATTTATTGATGACATTGGAATGAGAGATTAAATCGATCATGCTCAAAATAGACATCACAGTATCAATAACGAAAATCGATAAATTAACGCACTGCAAAAAGGTGGACAGTGTTTGTTTAATTGATGTTTCGATGACGGTCACTTTTTGCATTTTGTGTGACTCGAGTCGTTTATCAGTACAATATTACCCCGTGTGACGCAGAACCTGCCGCATCACACAAGCAAGCAGTAGCTGTGACAGGAATTGGGACAATTACCGTTAATATACCACCGTTCGAAAATATTAAGTACTATACATGTAAAAACTAAAGGAAAGAACAGTTTCCCTGAAATGCATACATGCGACATTAAACCGTCTCTTTCTTAAACTGAACTTCAATATTTTCAACCGTTTGGTATCATTTCCTTCACACGTCACGTAGTATTTCCTATGCATCCTTCAACAAAAATACAGCTGATGGCTATAACAGCAGGACAATTTCAGACGAAAAACTAAATCGACCGTGATTTTCGTTCTCGACTATTAGGCCTATATTCTTAATATAGCGGAGTCCTTACAGTTGCTCGATGTAGTGAGCGTGGAAAACTTCTTGGAAAACGCCGGCTCAATTTTTTTTCTTTCGCTTTGCAATTCGAGGAATGGGGACTGAAAAGGAGTGAATGTGTCCTGACCCCCAAACTAGAGAAAGCCCAAAGGAGGACATTGTAGTTTATTTCGGTGCGTTTTCAAGGAAAGTAGGCCTATAATACTGTGTTTGAAGCGACAACTTAGGTAGCTTTTTGGGAAGTTTGTGTTTGGAAAATTTTTTTGTATCCAGTCTTGTAAAGTTGTGACGTTTTCAGAAAATACACATTAAAAATGGAGACAGAAAACGGAGCGGAAAAACACATTGACGATTGTGTGAGATCTTTTCGGGAGGCACACCCTTAGAATCCACGTTTCGCTATCACGTACGCGCGCCTACGCTGCCTCGATCTCACACTTTCCTCCACAACGTGATCACGTTGTGAAGGAAAGTGTGAGTAGATATCGGGCGGTCACGGGCTGCAATTTTTCCTTCTGCAGGCTAGTTCAGTCATTTACCTTAAAGGTATAAAGTACATAATTTACAGCTATCCAAAAAGTAACTTACGAAATTATTGTTGAAAAAGTATACTTGGTTTACAGATACGACACTAAACTCACTGAGAAATTATTCTTTCTGGCATGCTGTCTGGTTGAAGAAAACAACAAAAGAAGGTCATTTCCAAAGATGTGTCTAAAGACGCATTTTTGGAAATTTCCGTTAGTAGTTCTTTTTTTCATTAATTCGACGAAGCCGTGAATGGGTGCGAGCAAGCGTTGACACGACGCACACTGATTTCGGGCGCAATTCAAAACATGACTCAGCACATTTGAATTGAGATCGAGATCCTAGAATATTGTTTTCTCGGAATATACAGCATTCACTGAGCTAAACCTTCATCAGGTTAGTTGTTAAGCAGCCTTCTTTAGATTTGAGCACTTTTGTTGCTTCAAACGAAAAAAAAATTGCACAAATGATACTCTACCATGCGTGAAAGGGGTTCGAACTTTACTTCTTCTTTTTCCCCCGAAGTGAATTTTCTTTCTTAAATTGTGTTTAATCAAGTCCTATTGATCAATGAAATAAATGTTACCCTATTTTCTGAGTTTTAGTTTTAGTTTTTTAAGGGAACGTCCGAAAACCATTCCGTTACCAACTGACGCGTGCGCATTATCGTCATTATTGACCATACTGGGTTGCAAGAAAAAAAGTAATTGCTAACAGGCTCGCGTACCTGGAAATCATTTACGTATCTATAAGAACCTCGCGCCCTCACATCGATTGACTGCATGTGGGGACGACCTCGAAATCCTCCGATCCCAATGCCTTTATCTCGTGCTTCTTTGTGGGATAAATACCAGAGAGGGATGAGGATAATAACAACATATCCATTTGAGGCTGTACCCTGGGCCGTTGTTAGGGTAAAAATGGTGGAGACCACGTGGCTGAGCCGATAATAATCATTTTGAGTGGGTAGTGGGAAAAGATACAAAAGAACGTAATGACATACTATAGGATGCAATATCCAGTGGCTGTCAGTCACTCCATTATATTCGCATTATACTTTGCAAAACTACGGGTTTTGTGTAGGGTTTGGCCGATATCGAGGTTGTACTGGCATGTTTCCGCCATTTTGAATTCAATTCCTATACGCAACGCGTATCAGCAACCTTCACAGTATTAACAAGCTTGGCTTTTACAGTGCACCGTCATCGTCACCGCTTGTGTACCAATATGTTGATTTTATGCAAAGGTCTATACCATAAACTTTTGTTCCGATACTAACCGAAATTATGTACCGATATATAGCCTAAATCGAAAATATTTCAACAGAATGTTGTTTTTTTATTTGACACTCACATGACTCCGTATGAGACACAAGAAAATATAAGGGGGTTCTGAGTTTTGTCTTGATTCTTGAATTATTGGTTTGTCTTGAAAATCTCACCTGATAGAAAAGTAAAACGCTGTCATAGTTGATGGACGGGAATAAAAAGAAAGAAACAAGAAAGAGGCTCAATAACAAGTATGACTTTCAGTTATGAACGCAAATAATTCCGTTGGTCATTATATTGATCATAGCTCCATTGTCATGCCGACTAGCATTTGCATAAAGGCCTAACTTCAGTGCCCCCTCCCACTCGCTATTAGTATTATAGTAGGATTCGAATCTTCAAGGCTACGCTATCCAGGGTTTGCTGTCCTTGGGAACGCCTCCCCTTCAAATTAAAAAAAGTAAGACCTTGAAACTGTCCAGCCTTCAGAGTCAGGACCAATAGGTTTTCGCCACGTCATGCACGTCGATACTTGCGCAAGAATTACACCAAATAATCGCCAGCAACGATTACATAATCGCTCTGTGCTTCGGGACCGAAGGTCGGCCCCCAATAGATCTCGCCCCACATTGTCAGGGGCTTAAACCATTCAAGGTCTACCGCTTCCGGTTTACTCAATTCTGTGAAGCGCTCGAATTTTTAGTGTAGAGGCTTATTGGTCACCAGTCATAACGCGCATGCGCAAAAACATCACGTAAAAATGACGTTGTTTATCACGTGACTGTCAGTGATTTTTAAATGCGAAAGTGCGCTTGTCAGGGTGACCGTTTTTAGCAGATTTTCTGCTAGATCTGACGGATATTTTTTGGGGGGAAAACACAGAATCTAGCAGAATTTTGTAGTGCATCTAGCAGACTTGTGGGATTTTCATCTGGTCATCCTGTTTCACACGTACACATGGAACTGTGCGTGCAGTATCAAAATTTGTCACGTGTCTTTGCTGTATTTTGTGTAATTTCTCGGTGATTTAGCAGATTTGTATTGAATCTAGCAGAATTTTTAAATGCATCCACCAGAAATTTGCGATTTGCATCTGGTCACCCTGGCGAGCGTCGCTCAATTATGACGGAGATTCGGGTTCCCTTTTTGAATAATAATTATTTGACCGAAGTTCAAAAGAAAACAATTACCCATTATAATTTGTTACTTATGGTTCCGTTATAGTTTTTAAGGTAAGAGAAAAGTCAGAGAAGATAGACGCGTGTGTGTCATGGTAACTCACCGAACAATTTATACGACCAGGTAGAAAAAAAATTCCTCTTAAGTTCTGTGTTGTCATATAGCCTAGGGTCTTTATGTCAGAAAAAGCAGTTGCCTGAATCTTGCTATTGTAAAGTAAAACCACAACCACGGGACGTTCACTCATTTTGCTTCTGAACCCTATAACTCGGTTCCGGCCCTAAATTGCGCCAATGACCGTGGCACTGCCACTTTGTTTAATTTCCCGAACAGGACCCATTTCCCATCAAGGTTATTAATACCTCTCGCAACAGGTAGCCAGATTATTTTGTTCATGGAAAGGGTACGGCATACGTTTTAGGATTGTCAACAGTGCGAGCTTTGAGGATATTTCAAATCGTAGGTCTATACGACTGTAAAAAAAAATGTCCTAAAGGCTGGCCACTGCTATTGGTCAATGAATGGTTAACCCCAAAAGATAATTGAACCGATAATCGTTTTATTATTCATAATGATTATGATACAATGATGAACATGCAGAAATCCGAATTTGGAATTGTATGGTCACACTCAAACGGCGGCTCTCCAAAGGTATTTTGTGACTCTGAAATGCAAATTGATTTTTGATGTGCTCCGAGATAGACCTCACAAGCTATAAGTAATTTTACTAATTTTGTTGCATTACATATTGGTTTTTCTGATTTTTCTTTTTCCCGGACCGTGCCCAGAATGTGACCTTGGAAAGACGCTCTTTAACTTCGTGCTAACTTAACTTGAGGGTCCAATGATCTATCTCGAAAATCACAGCTCGCAATTATGTCACTTCAGAACGCTTTTTGTCAACACGGAACCTGCGTCACACACGGAACTGCTATCGCGCTATAGACTTTGGAAACACTTCAGTGCAGTTTGCACAAGCTTTACGAAGTCACGTTCTCGCTACCGGCCGGCGGGCACGATACCAATTTTAGCCTATCAGAGTCCCGGTTGGTATACAAGACTCGTCCTTGGCACCCTAGATTTTATTTTTGGCATTTAATCCTTCCCTTTTTACACAATTATGAACGGTAAAATGAACTCTTTTTTTCACGGAAAAAAGGCTTCTTCTACACTCCGACACCACGTTTTAACTCGTAGGGATACAATAAATACCTTGAAAATAGCGTTATTTCCCTCTCGTAACTCATGGTAAGAATTGTAATGATTTATGCTGCCCTAACAGAGTTTGAAAGAAATAGATCATGTTCAAAAGACAGGACGTACTAAAGCATATACAACACGCGGGACATTATTGATTGCAGCAACTGGAGTTAGGTACTGTAGGCCAGTTCGCGCCTGTTCACAGAAATAGAAATCGCGGGCTTTGAATAGCTCAAGCCGAGGGATTACCCTTCTGTACTCCATACGTCTACAACCACCGTCCCAATATACACTGTAATCCCCACAAGGGATTAGACATGTTGCTATAAATAGTATAGGCCTTGTAGAATTGGCGATCATTCCATAGAAATTGGGCATATATAGAAATCCCCCGCGCCTTAACCGCCACCACCATTTAGCAATGGCTTTGTCGCACGTAGGTTGTTCATTTGTAAGAAAGAAAACAAAAATGACGCCGTTGGCTTTTGTCGCTGGTTGATCTCGAGGGGGTCGGTAGCACCTGTCTCGAGGCACAGTGTTAAGTCCAAGGTCTATTGTCGGAGAGCTCAAAGGCCTGGCGAGTGGCACGTGCGCGCTCGAGTCCTGCGAGGCCTGAACAGGGCAGTGTGAAAAACCACGTCCTTGTGGTGTACGTATTCACAGCAAAACTTAGTTTGGTGATTTGTACGTACCTCCCTTTGTACAACCGCCGCGGCGTAACACTGTGTAATAAAAGGCCAAGGTTGGAGCATAGCCTTGCTCTATGGTTGGAGCTTATAATACCGGCGTCCCGTCACTCCACTCTGATCTAAAGCACCGATTCAGTGCGCCAAAACTTGTGCCAACAACAGAAGTTCAGGGTAATAATCTGAGCGGGAAATAGACGAAAATAAAATAGGCTTGCTTCGCTTTCAATGTTTCTGGATGCTGGAAACAAAACCTCCACAATTCCCGGGAATTAACTATTTCCAGATATTTCCCAGTTAAATTTGAACGAAAAAAAAAAAATTGGTTAAATGCGTAAGTGGAACTTTCCAAACCGGAAACTTCAGGCAAAAAAAGTGGGTCAAAACAGTCATAGTATACCTAAAGGAAAGTTTAGCCATCCAAAAATCTCTTACGAAAGTCACGTTTTGTGGTTGGACACATGGGCGTCGCCAGGATTTTTTCTAAAGGGGGCAATACACATTTTCACCCAAAACATCCCGGTGCTTTTCCAGCATATTCTCAGTTTATCATTTTTTCGAGGGTGGGCAGGGGGACACAAATTTTGTCCACCCTACCACCTCAACTTCTAAATTAACAGTAATATGACTAAGCACCTTTTTTTTCTTCTTTTTTTTTTAAGTTTTTTTTGCTTTTTCCGGGGGGAGGGGGGGGGGGGGGGGGAAGCGCCCCTCATTACTACGCGTTGTGAATATTAAGGCATGACTGATTGAACAAGCTTATTATGACCGTTTCCGTTGTTCCCTCTCACGGCAGTATTTGAGCCCCTTCTCATCCGAAACCAGATGGACTTCAGCTCGAATGTGATGCTCAAGATGTTCATGGCCGCCGTCTCGGCAGTTCTCGTCTCCATGTCGGCCCTCTCTGTGCTGCCAACCACTAGCCAGAGGTTCCAGCTGGCGAGGGATAACTTTATCTGCCGGTTGAGTGCCAAGGGCGTGGCGGCCTCAGTTATCGGGGGAACTTTGCTGGGCATCGGGATGACCATCGGAGGCGCTGTAAGTGGGACAAGATCTTGACTCAAATGATTAACTTGTTTTTGGTTTTTCGTGAACCGAGACAGTAAATACCCTTGCTTCGCTAGGTTTAAATGCGTAAAAAGAAATCATGTGTCACTTTATAAGTAAGGTTTAATAGGAGCGTTCGTGGAAACAGCTTGGGTTTGTGTAAAAGCTTGGGAAAAACTCCTTTGGGTGATAAGAAGGTGGTTAAGAGAAGAACCTGGTGTTTCAATCAGCATGTGCTAATCTCTTAAAATTAAGTAGCATCTCCTCCCAAATTTAAGTTCACCAAGGTAATCGGTGCATACTGTATACTACGTAAAAACAACCTTCTATAGCCCTCAAAGAGACGGTGTCTGTGCGATTGTAAAAAAAAAATACAACTAACTAAAGCAATTCAGACTCGAAGAGAAGGCATTGACTGTACTTTCGATGGATTCATTCAAACCAGACACTTGTATATACCTTTTCCCAAGCCAGAATGAAACGTTCTATAAATATTACAGAATTTGTATCTCTTGTTTGTCTATATAGTGCCCCGGTGCTGTCCTTGTCCAGATAGGTGCAGGAGTGTCCAATGCAGGTAAGTTCTAACACGGTGACAAAGAAGTCAACCATAGTGCCGCTTGCCTAAATGCATGGACAAGCCAACAAATAACGCAGTCAGCTACCGACCGATTAACCTAACACAAACAAACTGACGTGTAAGAAAACCCCAGAGTTACGATTCAAATGTCTAAACCCATGTATCAACAATCCATTCACACCTGAATGTCCCACCCACCATCGAGCCAATCAAGCAAACCCAAATGACAAACGAGTAATAATCAACCAACTAACCAATTAACAAATCAGCTAACCAACCAAACATCATCTAATCGACAATCTCTCTATAACTGACAGAGGCAAATGCCAAGTTGTTTTCTAAACACAACATTCTCTTATGCAGGGAAAACACAATACAGGTTCTTTCATAACACTCAAGCACATTTTCCACAGCAGCTGACGGATATTGACGATCGATTGTGTTTCACGTTTTAGTAAATCAAAATGCCAAGTCAAAAGTATAAATTTGTATTTTGCAAATGAAAAGGCACAGCATCATTGGAGCACAGCAAAAAGATTCTTTCAAACCATAGAACCAACTAGACCAACGGCATTTAATTAGGCGTCTGTGGGGGGTGGGGGAATGAATTGAACTTAAATATGCTTTTGGGGGAAAATTTAATTTTCTGGCTGAGGGGATCACAAAGATTTCTGATCAATACTTAGTTTCTTTTGAATGTGTGAATTGGAGTCCAGTTAAAGGTTCAATGGCCTGTGAGATGTAATGCTGCCTGACAGGTATGACAAGCTTGTCAGCCTTATTATGTTCGTGTGAGTCACACAAGAAAATTGCTGTCAGATTCAGTATAATAACACTACACCTAACTCTTGACTGAATTGCCATCGACAAGTACACAAAGTCTTACAGAAAGTTTATATAGTGCTCTTTTGTGTTTATTTTATGTATTTTTTTTTCTAGTTAAAAATATTGGTGGTGCTGGTGTGGTGTTGGTGGGGGTGTTTGACATGGCCTTCTTACAATTCAGGAAAGTTTCAATTGATGGGCAAAAATCTGACACATACGAATGCTATAAAATGTACACAAAGATAGTAAAATGATAATTTAAAACAACAATAAATTTCCTACTTTGTCCCTTTTAGTTCTTTTCCCAATGGCGGAACATAATTGTATGCCCTCCCCAATCTTGCAGTCTACAATCCCGGCCAAAATGGTTGGGACACTTTCTGAGCCTGCCACGGTCACCCACTGCCCTGCTCACCGGGTCATGTTGTTCTCTCCAGCTGATGGAGCACACACCGCGCAATGAGAGACAACATTAAGTGGGGGCTGGGGGTTGGGGGCCCAGCGAGATTTTGCCAGGATTGTAGCTTCAGCAACCCATCAGTAATCGCATAATGAAAACTAACAGTTTTAGATAATTTGTCCTTTCAGTCTTCCGTGACCTTGCCAGTGGACTTCCTTTCATCTTGTGAAATGATTTACTCGAAATCAAAGTTGATTTTGAGGTTGCACTCAATTCATACATCACTGTTGACCTGCATTACAGTTTGAACACCATTCCAATGTCCTCGAACTGGGGCATTGACACTCAATATGTTCTTCACAGCTGTCTTAGGGTGGTGATAACATATGCACATTCAAAACCTTTGTCTGTGTACGTTAACTGTTGATTTTCAGGCTCAAATGGCCTCTTTCCACACTATTTTAACAGCCTGCCCTAAAACTAAAAATCTATATTAGTCTTTTCCATAATGTGATCAGCTTCAACAATTGGTAAAATGATGACAAACTGATTTGCTGACTGTACTCTCTTATTTTGAAACACTGAGACCAGAGACTGCTGCGATTCAGCCTGTGAAATCACTATAAGTTTGGATTGCAAATACATACTCTGGAAAAAAATCTACTCATTTGAATGAGTTTAACTCTAAAACATCTGGTCCCTGGTTTCAGTCAGGGAGTGAATTTTCATTCAAATGGAGTGACTTTTATGAAATGAGCAACATGAATATGAGCAGTGTCAGCGTCACAGTGCTGCCTGTGCACTGTAGTGACAAGCATCCCAGGCCCAACACAAATAGACCTATGCTATTTGGTACCTGGATACACTCAGTGCACCCACCCGCCCTCCAAATCCCTAGCTTTGGGTTTCAAAACCTTTTAGCTTTTTTAAAAGTAAAATCAGACTCCCGGACACAACAAAAAAAAAAAAAAATAGAGAAAGAATCAAATCCTGCTTTCATATTCCATCTTTTCATCTCTATCTTTGTTTGTGAACAAAACACACAGCAAAAGTGTTGGGCTTGATTGGTCCCAAGCCTTCACTGACAAAGCTAGTGCTGCGGTTGGGATTGCTATTCAATCTCAACAATCACAAAAAAAGTCGTCTCCCCCCTTTTGGGAAAACCAAACAGAGCAAGACAAGTGATAAGTGCACATCAAGTTGATGGTTATTATGGAACAGAATCAACAATAGGCATTGTAGCTCTCAAAGAGGTCTCTGACAAAAAGAGGGTCGTAAAATGTGTACTCAAGGTCGTAAGTGGGATAATATGCGGGGAAAACAGGGAGGGCAAGGAGGATGAGGAGCCTGTGAGTTTCATTTTTCAACACACATATTTTTTTCCCAGATACTTCGATTTCTTTCAAGTTAATACAGAGCCTGAGCACTCAGACCACATTGATAGTCATACAGGCTTCATACTACATCACAACCTTATATATTTCAGAAAATTTTCCAGATTAGCAAAAGGACTAAATTTCAAAACTGCATTTGTTGTTTGCACTTGTAAATAGGGCTAGACAATCTCATCAATTTTAAAAGCCACAGAGGACTGTATGACAAGGCCTATTCATGTTTAAATCAAACTATCGAAGATTCTGAATCTGCTCTTGTATAAACCCGGATATATACTCCCCCCCCCCCCTCCCCCACCCATTGTCACAAATCATGTCATGAAAGCCTCGGGCAATTATCATTTGCCAAGATCCAGTTCTTGCTAAAGTTCTACATCAAAGTCGATCCAGAGTGCAAAACCCCAGGTCCCATATATCAGGGGAGTGACGGCCGCACTTGCCCCCATTGGCATTGTCTTGCAGATGCCCCAAGGAAACTCTCCATGGCCATTCATCACTCTGCAATGTGGGTGAGCAGACAGTCAGCTGACAAGTTCACAACTTGTTTTTTCTGTCTCTCCTAGCTCATTGGCTCCTGGGCCTAACTCAAGGCCAGACGGCTAATAAAAATGGGTAAAATGAAGCTTGTCAAAATGGTTCCGGCCTTTTCAGTATATGTCGGAAATGGGAAAATTGGGGCAGGGAAAAAAAGGTGCAAACTCAATGGGAAGATCTTTGTCAGCAGCATCATAAAAATCGAAAAACATATATCATCTTATTTCATACCACATACTAGTGTTACTGACAAATACTTTTTCTTATGAAAATTCTAACGAAGGAGTCAGTCAGACAGATGATAAAATAAGTTAACTTATGCAAAAAAAAACCCAACATTATCACACATATACAAAATATGAACAACCAAAGAAAATAATGCAGAGCAAAATAAAGACGGATACAAAAAAGAGAGTAAATAATGGTTGGTGAGAAAAAAAGTGGTGGGTAGTTTGGCAAGATGCCAAGCATGGGAATGGATGTGTCACTCGATATTCAGCAAGTTGTCTGGAGATCTGGGATTATCACATTGAGTTATAATCGTTTTTAGTTATTGGTCCCAGTTCACATGACAAGTATAGAAGCAACAGCAATAAATGACTGACGTACTGACCAACCAACCTATAGTTCTGGCCAACACATGCAGCATGATGGCTTGTGTTATGACTGACAAACCAACCAACAATCCAATCAAAAATTAAAAAAGAGTTTACCTTTGTTAATCGGTAATTTTCATCTTGCAAAACTGTGATCCTTTTATTGACGCCCTGACAGTTATACCAGCTACCTTTCACATTCCAGGTTACACGCTCTTGGGCTGCATTCTCGGGGCCACTCTCTATGGACTGACCGAGCAAACAGTCTCTGGCTGGACACGACCCAAGAACCCTGCACAGAAAGTCCGGTAAATTCAATTTCAGTCAAGTATCTTTTTCTGGAGTTAAAAGACTAACTTTAAAACAGAGTAACTGCAGTTGAGTCTCTATGCCAAGAGGTGTACCGTAGTCAAGCTCATCCCACTACAGGTCCATCACAAGTTCGGTCACTTGGCATGGAAAAAAACAATGGAATGCCTCTGTCGCTCACACATCTAATGGCTTGTGACTTGAATTTTGGACTGGGTGGCTTGTCTTGGACTCGACTACAACACTAGTACCAAGTGGGCCCTAGTTTCCACAATCCATAGTTGATGAGAGTTAATTATTATTACGGACTATAGACTTTGAGTATTAGTTCCAAATTCAAAAACAATATTCTTGTTTTAACTGGCTATATAGCCCATTCAGTGGAATCCACTGGTCTCCCAGTAAAGAGAAGACAATGTAGAAGACAATGTGAAGTAATTACAGTTTTAGACCAGGGCGGAAAACCCCGAGAAGACTATTCTGAGAAAAACCTACAGGACGGAAAACCCAGTCCACATTTTGGCCCAGGCAGGAATCGAACCCGGGTCACAGCGTTGGAAAGTGAGGGAAGTACCACATTAAATGCCAACTTGACTCCCCTACAGATACCCAACTACACAGATGCCTAACTCAAATAGCCTTTCACTGTCCAGTTGTATTTTGAGAATAATTGGTTTCTTTGAAAGCTAACAAAGATCAAGTATCAAAAGACTCATATAGCAAAAGAAAAAAGAAAGAAAACAATTTCATAATTTCTAAGCAAAGCAAAAATTAGCTTGGAACCATTTATGTTAAAGAAAAAAAAGTTTAAATTAAAAATTCATAAATACCTGAGATGGTTTACCCATTCCTATTGGTCGAGGGCCTGTCTAGTGGGTGGTCTTAAACTGCCGTTAAAACACAGATCAGTGATTTTTAAAACCAGTCGCAAGACTCTGCACTCCCTGTCACATGTGCGTAAAATAGCATCACACATCCGTCTACTACAAACGGGTGCCGGAGAACCACTGATGTGGTCCCCATATAAGGAGAATGACATATTGAGCAAACCCCGCATGTGATGCGCACCATTGAAGTGGCCTGAACATAGAGTAAAACCGGCTAGGGGTCTGGTCTCCGATAGTGGCCCTCACCTTCTTCCCGGGCCATTATCGGCAACCAGTTCCCTAACCAGTTTTAAACCAGACTATATTGTTCCCTTAGTAGTTGTCTAACTTTCCTGGACTTGAACACATTACTTGATGTAGTGATCATGCATGGATGCTATACAGTACATTCAAAAGATATGCAACACTCCCACTTTTAACAACTGTTCTGCTCGTCCCTAATTTTCCTTGACCACCATGAACCCTCATCGTAACTGAACCACAGCTGCACACCCCCAGAAAAAAAAAAATAATAATATAAAAAAAAGCAGCAATATATGCCATCCCCGCAAAATAGGTCACATGAAACCAGCAGTCATTGCACTTGACATAATGGGAAGAATCGTGGACAGTTCCCACAAGTATAATGCATTTTTTTCTCGCACTTATTGCAAACGAGTCCTGTTCCATTTTTTTTTACTCGGACCGTCCATGACACGCTACTGTGGGGCAGAAATTCAAGTCATTAGTTTCACAAGATTAAACACTGAAGATGCTAGTGGGAAAATGTCAAGGATGTCCACATCGCCTTTCTAGAGAGACAGAGGGAGAAAGAAAGATGGACAAAAAAACTATGGCTGAAGGTTTTTACTGTGCTTGACTTGCTGCCTGATGAACAGATGGCAAAAAGTCTTCTTCTTTTTTGATGTGCAGGCATAGATGCAAACTGGTTTAGTGAGACTGGAGTATTATTCAAATTGGGGGAAATTATGATGCCAACCATTCCTTATTCGAGGGGCGTAAATCCCGGAGGGGGGGGGGGGGTATATATCACCCGACTTTTTGACTGGGTGGGATGGGCTATTGAATCATCCCCCCACTTTTTCGTGGTGAGAAACCAACGAAACGCGTATTTTTTTTAACTTCCCAACAACAAAAATGTATTCAATAGCACTGAAAAATGAAAGGAGAAAAAAGCAAAAAAAGCTTAAAATGCGCTGTTTTGATGTAAGCGCAAGTATACTTAAAGATGTAAATCTGTATCATTAGCAGCGCCCCCTAGTATGATGTGGTGTCAATTCCCCCCCCCCCCCTCCAATTTTCACGGCCAGGCATTTTTTGGATTTTGGCCATCCCCCATTCCCCAACTCGCTGTCACAGATTTACGCCACTGCCTTATTCAACATCGTTGGGTGCTCAGGCAGTTTTAGTTGGTACAAGAAGCAAATTAACGCAGCAATTTGGGGCGGTATGTAACAATTAAAAGCAACTCTATGCTGCTTTAAAAATGTTGTTGAAACGTTTTATCTTCACGCAGTTTGCCACAAAATGATGCACTATCATAATAAAAAAGTTAAAAAGTCTTACCAACCTAATCCTTTTAATTGCAAGGGTAGGAAGTTAACATTTCTCTTGCAGGCATTCAACCGAGGATGCTCATCCCCTGTTCCAGAAAACAAACAAAAAAAGAGAAAAATCTTTCATCTGAGAATATTAGTGGTAAAATCTTAGTCAAAACTGTCATTTTAAATGTTATTTTTTTGTGTACATTAGGAGCAATGAGTAAAGCTTGCTTCTCCGGGTAGATTCCTTGCCATTCTGGAAAAAGGAAAGCGAAAATATACAGATGAACTGATTGTCTTTACTTTGTAACAGGATTGATGAGATCGTGGGTCTGCCCTTCTGGAAGGTAGCTCTCCCGTTTGGCATTGCCTTGGCAATGTTTGTCTACTTCCTGGAGGTGGTGGTGCCTTGGACCTCCGATCTGACCGTGCCCAATCAGAGCGAGGCCTCCCTGTTTGCACTTCGAAGCTGGCTGCCTTCAATCTCTGGTGGGTAGGAATGAAAAGAGAAGGACTCAAACTTTTTCATGATAGATGAAAACTTGGGTCTATCACTGGAAGTTTTTAGCAGTGGCACTAAATGCTTGGGGCTATGGGTGGGTGGAGGGTGGAGGGGGGGGGGCATGCCCCGCTTTGGGCCCATAGTTCCTGCTGAAACTATGACCAAACCCATGTTGAGAGCCCCCCCCTCCCAGTAAAAGAGGCCACACAGGACCCTTCAACTTTAATAAGCAGTGGTGGAATAAGAATGTACACTAGTTGAAATGAAGATATTTAACCCTGGGTTCTCTGCCACTTGTACCTGTTTCTTGCTAGTTAAGGGCTTTGTGTACAAAGTGGCTTTGTGTTTTTCCTATTGTAACTTTGCATAAAGCATGCCTTGAACATGGGTGAACACGCTTGCAATGTAATAATAGCCAATGTTACAATGTCCTTGCTTCAAGGTGGTCACAGGGGAAATAACAATCTGGCAGCATGCCAGATTCCTGAATTTCTGCTTTCTGGCTCGATTCAACAAAAGTTTAAATCGATTTACTGTATAATATATAAATACCAGATTGTGTATTCATGAATTTGTTCTTTAATGTCCAGATCCTGAAGTTTGACCTTCTGGCTCAGTTCAACAAAGATGTAAATTGATTTATTGATTGCAGATCAATAACAGGTTGGGATCCTTATATTATATTTGTCATGTTCTGTTGTCCAGGGGCTTTAATTGGCTGTATGCAGATTCCGATTGTTCTTGCAATGGGACAGACCATGGGTGGAAGTGGCAGTTACTGCACAATGGCTGCGCAATTGATTCCAACGGGGACCCTGCGTAATGTCTCACCGTACCTCCTGAGGACCAAGTATGGCCTGAACAACTGGTGGTCGGTAAGCAAAGACCCCCCCCCCCCCCCCCCCCCCGGGTTGAAGAAAAGAGTTTCAATCATGCAAATTAAAAGTCAATAAAAAGACAACTAAGTCACATGGGATAAGCAGCAACTAATGAATGTCTTTAGTGCCTTTCATACTTTCACAGAGATTTCGCGAACGGTGAACCCCTTTCTCACTTTAGCAAGAATCCCCCCCGGCTTTTACATGGGGTCAAGTGCTCTACATGGGTAAAATCCAGCCCTGGTCAGGACCAGGGTTGAGACTCTGTACCCGGGTAGAGAAAATCCATAATCTACAGCTGACCCCATTGGCGGAACCAGGGGGTGTGAAGGGGGCGCCCATCCCCCGGCAGTGACAGAAATTTTCTCAAATTAGGCAATTTCTTACTTGAGAGAGCCCTTCCGCCCCCACCCCCCACCTCCCCCCCCCCCCCAGTAATCTCTGGATCCACCCTTGGACCCATGTTCACACTGCTATAAGTGTAGATGGCATGCCTTGCCTACCCCTGTGTGACGGGACCTGGTCCTGCTTACGGTAGACTCGTGTTGATTTCAACACGGGTAGGTGAGACAATAGTGTGCAAAGGCCTTTTTCAACGGTTCATTTGACCAGAGACTCTTGACTTGATACTGGCTGACTCAGGGTGATGATTTGTGATGACTCGACTAATATGTGCGGTTGAGTTCTTAACTTTTTACCTGGAGTAACAAAAACCACAAGAATATTAGCTATAGATTCTGAGGGCTATGTTATCCTGGCAATCAAATGCAGTAATTTCTTCAATTTGTCTCATGAAATATAATTTTTTTTACGGATATGCACACAAATGAAGTTGCTGGCTTGAGATGCAAAAACTGACCAGAAAAACTGACCATATTTCAAAGTGTTGGAAATACATGTACATGTTCTATTTTGGAAGAAAAAAAAAACCTGTCCTACTTTCACTTTCATGGAATACAGTAGGCTTTAAAACGCAATATTTAGATACGCTTTCATAGGTTTCCACTCTCAGAAAACTGAATGGACGCATACGGACAAAAGGGATATAAAAACTTGGCCACAAGCAATTCCTGCCATGCCAATACAATTGAAAAGAAAGTATCAGGGGTAACTGCATGATGTTAGGAGTTAACCTTCTCTTGCTATTAGTCATCGATGTGTGAAAAGTAAAGGATCAGTGAACAGCCAGGCTAATTTCTCATTCACAATTGACAGTATAAAGTCTGAATTTTGCCACCCCCCCCCCCCCATCCGGCATAAAAAGCTGTAATAGGCTACTGATCTAAACGTTCTGTACTGTTCTCTGTTTGAAACACTTTGTGTTTATTGCTTGATTCCTTGGCCAAATTAAACGTTTCTCAGGCATGTTGTTCATTAATATAAACATCTTGCTATCAGTCAATCAGACAAAAAATCAAATCAAATCAAAAGTCAAATCACAAATCAAGCACAAGTCACATTGCAATTCAAATCACAAGTCCATCTTATGGATGTACTTTCTGTGCAAATTTCAAGTTTAACCCTGAAAAATGGTGTGTTTTTTTTACAATAGTAGCAATACAAATTCAAAAGTGACTATCTTTTGGATTGCTAATTTTTAATTTTTTTTGCAGATTGCGTATGGTTGTGCAGCCATAGCCGGAGCAGTCTTCTCCGCCAGTATGGCTGGGGCTTTGGGCGACACTGAAGGAGTTTCTGCACTGCATGCTTTCCTGGGTGGCATCATCATGGTCTACGGCTCACGTCTGGCTGGCGGATGCACTAGGTAAGGTTGGAAGAGAGAGTTGGGTTTTCTAGGGGAGATCGTCTGAGCTGCTCAAGCAGGCTGACTGGCCAGGTGCCCCTGTTATTAAAATTCTTAAATGCTGCTCAGTGATGCTTTTTTCCTGAACTCTGAGCAACTTGCCTAGACTTGAGAGGAATTCGCTAGATAGACAGTCTTGTTTTATCTGCCGGCACCGCCAATTTATACCAGCGCAGCGCAGTTCGTTACATGTAATTAGAATAGTACACGCATATTGGGATCGATGATGCAAGTACCGTTCCTGCACACTGGTATGTGGTATGACGTATCGCGGTGCGGCGTGCAGCGGGCGAATAAATCACCCAATTACCGACTGGATTTCAAGTCTACAATTTGCCTGTAATTTATCACTGCAGTATCCGTGGCAGATCTGAGATTTTTCACTGACTTAGGTGTAGAAGTCAAGACATAAAGTCTTCTCTACTCCAAGGAATCTTAAGCCTGAAATAATCGTTAGAGTAACCATAAGGAAATTTTTTTGGGGAAAATTTGACAGTTTTGGGGGAAAAATGTGACTTTTTTTACAATCATCAAACAGAAGTTGGTGGTTGGCCTCCCTTTGGCATACAACGACAAGAGCCATAGACTGATCCTTAAGCCCCGCCTCATGTTATGACCTTTGACCAATCACAGCCTTGATTAACCCTAACAGAACTCAACCCATCAAACCCCAACAACACGTATTGTTGTCTGGATGGGTACAGTACCCCTAAACTGACAGTCTTTTACATTGGGTTGGCACACCTCCAGAAACTAAGTCAGAAATATGTGTGCACAGTTTTCCATATGGTGTTGGAATTTGCCAGGATGGGTATGGTTCCTAGTAAATCATGCTAGGGAGTTAGTGTTAACGTTGGACATGGATGTACAAACGTCCAACATACATGCATGAGTGCATGATGCGCACAGGTGAAACATGCTGTGAGGCATGCATAGGAGATGTGGACGTGTTGTTTCCCAAACGATAGTGGGTGGGGTTTAATGTATCAGTCTATTCTTACGAAAGGACACATTCTAATCAACTTTTTTCCTTCTCTTTTTTGCTTCTTTTTTTGTGTGCAGTGGTCATGGAATGTCCGGCATGGGTACTCTCTGTCTGTTTTCTTTCGCCGCCGTTCCCGCCATGTTTGTGGGAGGAATCGGAACGCTGGCTACCATGAAGTTGACTGGACTTGTGAATTGAGTAAAGAAAATGGCAAAGCTCTCTGATATTTGTTGGAATTTTCATCCCCCCCCCCCAAAAAAAAGCAAGGTCCCAATTTTTGGAAATGTTAAACAGAAAATATAGCTTGGAAAAATTAATGCGTTCAGCAGTAACCAGGTTAAGCTGTAATCATCTCATGACTTTTCAGCTGTTGACCTACATTTGCTAAAGCAAGTATTTTCTACGCCTGGCAGCTTTCGGAGCTTAGTGCCTTCGTGAAATTGGTCTGTTGAGTGCTGACAGAAATGTTTAGGTGATGAAAAAAAAAATGGGTAGATTTACCTCATGTATTCAGTAGAAATTATGGACTACAATTATGCAAACAAAAATCAAGCAAAGACTAGCCAAATTCACTACTGCCTGATGTTTAAAATTTGTTAGAAATGGGCATGGTCTGAGTGCATCATCCGATGAAAACATCTATTCATTTGCACACCAGTTTTCATCGGTTGCTATGTGATACCACTCAGCACTCCAGACTCAAAAACCATTGAGCTTCAAGAACATAGGTCTGGGAGCTAGATAAGGAAATAAAAAAAGACATCCTGGATGACCGCGTCCACCTATTCCAACAAAGATCAAGATTTATGGATATGTTGCATATAAGGGTGATGAAAACAGGAATGAGGTATTGTGATCTTACTGATCATTACAAAAAGTTGGGAAAAGTTGTTTGTTGAATCACAATTTTTGTGTGCTGTTATTTCATCAAGCACATCATCTTGGGGCAATCTGCATCTCACATCAAAATGTTGAGTTGTAGATATTTTGGTCTGGTGAAATAACCACAGAAAATTGTTGATATATTCAGCAAGCGTTTTTGAGCCGCAAACATATTGGTCATTCTATAAATATAGGGTGGAAAGTCTTACATTTATAGTGTCCCTGTTACCTTGGTACTTTGTAATTTGCCATTCAAGCATCATTAAGGATGACTTCAAATGATTGTTTATTTGTTGGGTAGGTAGTTTGCTATTCATAATCACTCTTGCAGGATGACTGCATTAAGGAGTGCATCAGAATTATAAAATCAAAGCTGTTAGATGTAACAGGGACAGGAAAAAAGTGAGGCCCGACTTTACAGGGGGAGGGGAAAAAAAGCAAAACCCAAATGTCGGGACTATTGTTTTAGTGAAGTTCTGCATGTAGCACTTTCAAAATCGAAGACATGAAAACCCAATTCATAAGCTTTTTTTTAGTACAAGAATCATTCAAATCACTCATGTACTTTTCAAGTTACGGAATTTAAAATACAACCACCGTTTTAAAGTTCTGTCCACGGATCACAAAAAAAGGTGTGCGTTCTTTCAGCAAAACGAGAACAATTCACATTTGGGTTTTGCTTTTTTTGACTCACCCTGTATAGAATGACCCATAGCCGTATGGGCACATTTCTAATGTTCCCTATTATAAAAAAAAGCTCACAATCCTTATAATATGAAGAACTTTTGGATCACTAACTTGATCAGAGACCATTATGCAGCGTATTTTGATTTGGGAATATTTTGAGGAAAGTTCGTAAATCAGGTTGAATTTCTTAGAGACAAGGTTTTTGCCAGGATTCAGGTTTTGTAAATGATACAAAGATTGTCCGTTTTTGAAGCACATCCCTTTATTGGGAACAATATTTGAGAAATTACAATTATTGCTCCAGTTCTAAAATTCATGTTTCTATCTCAGGCAGTTTTCTGACGAAAAAAATGTTCTGTATTGGTAAGCAAACACTGCCCATACTTGGATATTGGTGTTTTTATTTTCTTGTTGTAAACAATGTACACAATTTGACAAGTTGGACCAATTTTGGATGAATTTATAAATATATTTTTTGTAACAGTTTTTGAAAAAAATTTACCAGCTGGCTGGAAATTCAAGTGGAGAAATATGAAAGGAAAAACAAAAGCAAGGAAAAAAAGGAAAGATAAAGCAGACTATATTTTTGAATTGTGACAAATATGCTTGTGGTTTTTTTCTTTTGTAATTTGTATGTAATATATAAGATACAAGCGAAGCTTAATCTTTTCTTTTTACATTTTATCAAAAAGGAAGGGAAGGCAAATAGTTTCAACTCATTTTTGAGAGGCGTATTTGTGACTTTGTAGTCACTTACTTTGGAGAATAAGTTGTTGGTTGGTATTAAGTCAAATGCTTGATGATTATGTACATATAGGTAAGTACACCAAAATGTGTACATTTGTAATCAAGAAAAGCATTTTGAGACTGTTTTTTTTGGTGTAATTTCATAAACATTTGAAATCAATGAACGTGATTCTTGTGAAATTTTGTAATATTTATGCCGAATGTAATCCCACAGTTTTGTTTTTATAATGCTGCAGATAAAATTTTAATACGTGTAAGTGTAAAATTTTGGTAATTTTTTTATATTCATTAAGATGTTACAGAGTATCAGGCCTGGAATTTCTCGAAGACATGGTTTCTGGAATTTTTTAATTTCTAATCATAGGTACACATTCCCACAGCAATTCCCTTCCTGACACATTCCGCCTAACATTTCCTGATTGACTAGTGCGAGTGCTCTTTTATGGGGGGAAAAAATCACCTTGTCTCTTGCATAAAATTCCAAGCCTGATGCTTACGTAATTTTTAAATAGTATTGTTTTTTTAATAATTCTTCATATTAATGGCGTTTTCCACTTTTTTTATACATTAACAATTGAAATACTAACATCTACCTTTACCCAGTGTGCATTTTAACACAAATTTGTAAATTTGGAGAATTGTTTTATTGTACATGTATATACTTGGAACTTTAATTGACTAATTTGTAAAAGTAAACATTCAATAGAACTCATTATGGACAAAATGCCGTATTTTATTAATAATTATTAACTAAACACACATGACTGTTTTGAAGGGAAGGATTGAGTAAAGTTGTTTTTCGCATGCAAGGTTTGTTTTTAACATTCAAATACAAGGCTTGAAGCTTAGATTGTAGCCTTGAAAGCTTGGCATAAAGGAGCGAAATACGGAAATTGAAATTGCGGAAACCCCGGAATGGCTTGATTTGGTCCCGAGGTCACGGTCCGGGGCACAGAAGTAAAAAATAGATATATGGAGGCCAAGGTGAATTATCAAATGAAATTAGGGCATGTTGGAAGTCATTGACATCTGTGCACGGTTTATGGGGCAAGGTTTGCAGACATATCCGGCCATGGCACCATACTCATGCCAATGTCATGTGAGGCTGTTTCGACCGACTAGTCACAAATTACCAAAATGTATTCAAAATGTACATTTTAAAAGAGCTTTGTACATGTACAATCTGTGTACAAGCACTGTAATCACCTCAGTAATGCTTGTCATTGTGAGAACCAGATAAGTCTACACCATAGAGCTATATTAAATTACTATAGAGCGCTAACTCGATGTACATGTACGTACAAAGTAATGCCTGATGGGCGCATCCATGTTTGTGCACAAACCTATGGAAAACTCGAAATTTTGTACGGCTACATGTATTTGCATATCTGCGTTTGTATTCCATACCGGTGCGACAACGAAGCCGATACGCCCAAAACCGAAATGCACAATCAGCAAATGAGCGTTTCATTTTGCTCTACGCAAACAGCACATCATGTGCGCGTCCCTCTGCTGCAGATGCTTTTTGCTGTGACGTTTTTTAACTGTCATGCGCTTAAATTGTTTGCGTATCTTCTACTTGCGCTTTGCATTTAGAGTACACTTTTAAAATTCAATTCATCTATTTGGATTGTGTTCTACAAACACGCACATAAATTCAAAATGTCTGCGCCCAGAGCGGCTTCAAAGCGCCTCTGAGCACAAGAATGAGGAGTTAGCGCTCTAGTAATTTAATATAGCTCTATGGTCTACACCTACATGTACATGAGTTCTTTAAAGGCATATAGGATCATTGGCGGCATATATCACAAAAGTAACCTGAATTATTATCAAAAAGCTTGCTTGGATTAAATATTGTGCTAGTTCTAATCGCTGTGTCTGGTTTGCTGTCATTAAGAAGAAATCAAGAAATGTAGGTGATTTCCAATGGTTAGTCAATTGACCGATTTTTGGAAATACAGAGTGCTATAGACGAAATCGTGTTCTGTGATCAAATGGTTAATTGTGCAAGGTTTTTGACTATTTTCTCCAACATGTATCAGATTCACTGAGCTGAAAGTGCAACAGGTTAGGTTTTGAACAGTCTTCCTTGGATTTTGAGTGGTGTTATTATTGGAATCGAACAAAACACATGAAAAGCAAATGATCCTATATGCCTTTAATAGGCAACTATCTCGTTAAAAACTCTGAAACTGAGGGAAAAAATTGGCTAGATGTTTGCAAATTTTTTTTTCAGATGGCCAAAGTCTGTTCCTCAGGCAGAGTGTAGCACATGTATTCTGGAGCATTTACGCTTAAATCCTATATGTCATGAGCTTGACAAATATATTTTTAGTACACATGTTGTAATCAGGTATTTTATGTGTAACAACGGAAGGTATAAAAGCTGACTGTGAATGTCTCAGGATTTAACAATCTTATCATGGATCACCTACAGGTATCTAATTTTGAACAGGATCTCAGGATTTCACACATATCAAATCCTGTGAGTGCATCATGGTGTGTTTTTCATTTTTAAAGGGAATATACATCATTTGCTTTTGCTGTAATTTTCAGAAATGGATGGATTCGGGGGGTTGGTAATATAAAGCAAATATTGTTACACTGACTTTTTGGATGTTTTGGGTTCGTAGATGCTATAAAAACCAAGAAAAACAATCATTTTCCTGTAGTCTGGTTCCCTGACTCCATTTAAGATGAAACGGAGCAGTTTATAACCATTGGGGAATTGTCAGGGAACCAGTTTAGCTGGCTTGTACCCGTTCATAGGTGTGTAATCGATTGCAAACAAATGCGGACTAACTGAATATGGTCAATTGGGGCCAGTATTTGAAAAAAGCCATTTTTTTTCCAACGCTGGTCGGCCGACCAGCGTTGGAAATTGATACAAAAATACCACTTTTCTTGAAAATGACAGTATACCAGGTGCCATGATTTTACAGGATGCTTTAGACTTTCATTCACTAGCAGTCCAGCGAGGTATTTCAAAATAATTTGGTAGTTTTATTTTTTGATGTTTGCAAATGTTGTATTTTCCCTTTAATGCGAGGTAACTTACGCTGATTTGAATGACAATAGATCCAAAGCATTGGATAATTTGGTGGAAAGGTTTATTAATTACACTATTGCAAACTGGCAGGCAAATGCTATACAGGGAAGCCTAGAAAAGTTGTTTTCATAAACTCTTGAAGTTGCATTCCCGTGCTGTTTTTCAAATTTCATCCAT